CCTACCTATCTATCTATCTATCTATCTATCTATATATCTATCTATCTATCTATCTATCTATCTATCTATCTATCTATCTATCTATCTATCTATCTATCTATCTATCTATCTATCTATCTATCTATCTATCTATCTATCTATCTATCTATCTATCTATCTATCTATCTATCTATCTATCTATCTATCTATCTATCTATCTATCTATCTATCGATCTATCGATCTATCGATCTATCGATCTATCGATCTATCGATCTATCGATCTATCGATCTATCGATCTATCTATCTATCTATCTATCTATCTATCTATCTATCTATCTATCTATCTATCTATCTATCTATCTATCTATCTATCTATCTATCTATCTATCTATCTATCTATCTATCTATCTATCTATCTATCTATCTATCTATCTATCTATCTATCTATCTATCTATCTATCTATCTATCTATCTATCTATCTATCTATCTATCTATCTATCTATATCTATCTATCTATCTATCTAATCTATCTATCTATCTATCTATCTATCTATCTATCTATCTATCTATCTATCTATCTATCTATCTATCTATCTATCTATCTATCTATCTATCTATCTATCTATCTATCTATCTATCTATCTATCTATCTATCTATCTATCTATCTATCTATCTATCTATCTATCTATCTATCTATCTATCTATCTATCATCATGCATGTCTGCCGGCCTGCCTGCCTGTCTGTTGGTATTTGTTCGTTAGCACAGGCACCACTTTTATTCCATGAGATGAACCAATGTCATCCCCACGACCCAACCCGGGTCACGCCTTATTGGCCAACCCCTCCCTCCCTCTTTAGACACTCAGTGTACGCTGTTTGTGGGCGTCTACTTCGTCCATTTCCTGATGGACCCGTTCTTTGCTCCCCGTCCGTGCGTTGGTGATTAATACGCCAGTACCTGTCCTTGACATCCTTTTCAAGGAAGTTTTTCGCCAGGAACACAGATGAGTATTATTTATTGTGTAGATTAGTCCCATGTAGTCACTTCATAGTTAGAGCATATTTGTGTATGTGTACTGTATTATTCTTTATGTGCTGATAAAGGCTAATCGCCGCAACGTCCTTTGTTCGTTTATTGTGATCGATTTTGTAAAGCTAACATAAACTGTTTGTTGTTTCTTACCAACTTTTTTTCTTCCCTATAATGTTCTACTCCTTTTAAAAACACAAATACCCTAGTGCTATGGAAACTTCTCTTGCCTTTTGTTTTCGCATTTTAATATCTCTATCACTTCCTCCAGCGGCGTCTGTGGCTTAGGCTTTCCGAGTCCGACTCGTAATTGCAGCGTACCGTGATCGAAAACCACTTCTGACTGCATGGATTTCTGTCATTGTATATTGTGTCACAGATCGACCCAAGCTACAATATGTACCAGGATGTATGTCCTGGGGAAGTAAAGACGGCCGGCGTAATGCTGACCACATAACCAACCTAGTGCTCACTGGTCTGTAAAAATATGAGCTGCTGTTCCCAAATGCTCGATGCGCCTGAAGGCGTGAAATGGGACCTTTACTTTTTATTTACTTTATCCCTTCCTCCATATTTACTTATATTATTGCCCAAACAGATGTATGACTCTACGTCTTGGAGTGGGAAACCATTCAGAGAAATTACAATACATTTTGCCTGATTTATTTTCAATATCTTTGTCTTACCTTTTCCCCTTATTTGTTAACTTTCTTTAATGAAAAGCTCGACATGTTATGTCTTTATATGTTGCCTTTACTAAATTACTAATATTATGTTGTATTCCACAGTGCCCCACTAATTTTCAGAGAAATCCCCTATCAATGACGTCGAAAGTTTTTCATAGTCTATGAACTTAATGCAAAGTGGAAAATTCAGTTCAATTCTTTGCTCGGTTTTTAAACGTGGTGAGGTTATCTATTTAGTACACAATCGGCCTCTTCGTCTCTTATCGTGTTATAGATAGCATTTTTTATTATTACCAAACTAATCCTACTTAATATTTTTTCCGGGAGCTAACAGCAAAAGAATTTCTCAATAGGTCTCGCACTCCTTTAGAACCCCCCCCCCCCCGCCCCCTCATTTTTGGGAGGGGGTTGCGGGGGGGGGGGGGCAGTTTCACAAGATATTCAGTCTACTGGTATTTCTCAGGTCTCCCAGTCTTGGCTAAATAATCTATGCAGAAATTCCCTTGATATGTTTAGATTAGCCCTAACAGCTTCTGCTGGAATACCATCTGGACCTGCTTCCTTTCCTTCCTACCTATGCATAATATTTTCGTCCTTCTTAGGACGTTATTTTTTGTTATTTGAAGCCCCACTCTGGCTTTTGCCAGGGGCCGCAATATAGGCAGGTCATCATTATGGCCAAATGTCTGAACGCGGTTTCTGGGACCTCTCCACAGTGATCCTCATCCGCATGGTGGCACTTTGTGTCATCGGGTGTTTATCGCTTGTGTGATGTCCTGGTGGGGTAAAAAAATCCATCCATCCATCCTTTCCTTCCTTCAGAATATTGATAGCTTTTATATTCGATGTTGTCTCCTTTAGAACCATTGTGTTTTGTGCCTCTTCGGTCACACACACGGGTCTTGATTGTATGCAGGATTTGTTGATCGAGGGACTTACGACCTAAGTGTGCTGCTTTCACTCTAAAAGGACTACTCATCGGGCTAGAGCAAGCTTTTGAGAGAAAGGGCATGAACTGTGGACGGATTTATCTTACGGTAATATATACACACATAAAACTCGATTATGTCTCTTGTAATTTTTTCTTCTTATTCTACTTTTCATCTTCCATTTCATCATATTAAAATGTTATTCCTTAAAAGTCGGTGTGTATGTACGTGAGAGGCAAGAAACCGACAGTATGTATCATCATCATCAGGTGCCTTGCCGACTGGCGTGGGCGATCATGCCTCTCCATAATCTGCGATCTCCTGCAGCATGTATCAGTTCGTGTGCCGACACACTTCCATACCATGCAACAAGACTGTCAAGCACCTTCTCTCGATGTCTTTCTCTATCCCTCCTCCACAGATCTTTCCAGTGGTCACAACATGTTCTATTTTCCCTCTTCTCATAACATGGCCGAAAAATGATGACTGTCTCCTTCTGATGTCCGTGATAAGTTGTCTTCGGGCTCCTGCCTCTTTCATAACCTCTTTATTGCTCTTTTTGGCTGTCCAAGGTATTCTAAGCATTCTTCAGTAAAACCACATCTCTGAGGCCTCAAGAAATACAATCTGTATACAAAGAATAAATCTGTAAAACGGAGTGCACGCAAAAATCTGAAACAACAAGACAAAAGTCCAGAAATAAACGAAAACTTCAACAATAGGGTCCTAATTTCGGATTCTATTTTGTCGTTGTTTTAAAGCCCCACCCTGGCTGTTGCCTGTGGCCCTAAAATAACTAAACCTATGAGTCGAACAAGGTTTCCGGGGCCTGTCCCCGGGTTATCCTTATTCGATGATGGTACTTTGTGTCACCAGGTGTTTATTGCTCGCTGTGGTTGAACGTCATTTTTCCCCATTGAGAATACAGCCGGTGAATTTGTAACCGTTGGGAAATAAAGTTCGTTCCCTAATTCATGTGTTCCTCACTTCTGTCTTCAATACCCATCCTACCTCCGTTTTTTAAAGATAGCTGAACCAGTTTAGTGCAATTATTTCCTTCGTACATATGGTTGGTTAGTTTAACGGCTGGAGAATCCTCTGGAAAAGCAATATCATAACCAGTCAATCTAATCTTTTGGCACCCTTAAAGTCTGAGAGTTGGACCTAAAAAAATCTCGCACTTTCAGTGAAAAAAAAAATGGTGGGAAAGTGGTGGTGGGTTATAGTTGAGGTGGGCGTGGCGGCGCGGGGGGGGGGGGGGGGGCTAGAGGTTTATGTAAGGACCTGTTCCAGCCTTTGTGCCAAAGCCTAATCCTCCGTCTTTGTACAAAAGAATAATCTCCATGGGAACAGTTGCAGAGTTCTCTTTTTCACCCCATAGCTTACACCGGGCTATGCTAGACCTACAACGAGCATTGATATCTGCATCTAGGCATAGCTCTATGCGTTCTCATGCCTTTAGCCTATCTGGCATATATTGTTAAAATTCTTTTTTCCTTCATAGACCAACCGGCACTAGATTTGTTATATGGTCAAAATGGGGCCGCTTTTACTTCCCATGACATTACCAAATACCTCTTTTAGGCTGGGTCGATCTGGAAGCCAGGCAGTGAATAATTTAAAATGATGTGTGGAATTCTAGATCTTTGAGCAGCTGGAGCGTTTCTAGCCTGTGAATAGCCACCACATTATTCATAGCAAATCTGGACTGTCTGGGATTTAGCTAGAATGGTCATATCTCATCTACAGCAACGTTTTCCAGTCTGCATTTTTAAGTGCTACTGTAATAGACATTTTGCGAATACTAGCACTTTTTTTTTTTATAGACATTTTGATGTGAGTATCAGCAAACCTGTTGAGGGAGGGGAGGGGAGCCCTTATGATGGTGATAGTTTTAGTTTTTCTTTTAATTTTTCCAATTTCAGTCTGTGGGATTAACAGCTCAAGGATGAGAATCAAAGAAGTACGTTTCACGAAAATCTCGTTCAACAGTCTAATCATATAGCACAAAGCTATGTAGCCTATAGGCCAGTGTGGGTGGGTATATTGTGTAACTTGCGTTGTTAGTCCTCGTTACCATTTATTTGCCAGTTAGGCTTATTTAGTTTATAGTTGATAAACCCAAAATAACCATTGATTACACCAGTAATAATATATATTATGTACAATAAGACAATCCATAATTAGGACACATAAATTAAACATTTTTATGATTTGCAAGTGTTACTCTGAAAGTATTTTACTAGCGGTTTTTTTCTTTAGGCACAAAGCAACATATTGTAATTGGCCAGCAAAACATTATAAAATGGTTGTGACAACCCAAAAAATCTGGTTTACCTCTGCACTTCCGGCAAATAAGACTACAACAAACATGGCTTCGGATATACGACAGGCACTTCTCTTGGTGTTGTGTGTCTTCAATTACTTCATGCATTTGTGTGCTGGATCACAAATTTGGAGTATATTTCCAATGGATTCCCATTCGTCCACTTTGCTGGGCGGTGGCCTGAGCGCTGTAAGCGATAGGCTTTTAACAATCAGATTAGTAGGCGTTGACCTCTTTCGAGAAAACGGACTTTACTTCACGACCAGCAATTCTACTTGCGCTTTGGTGAAAAGTAGCGGAGCGTTCTACCCATCTCAGTCATCTTTGGACAGGACTAATGCTTTAATTGAAGTCAAATTTGAACATCTGCCTGGAGATGATGCTTTTTGGTATATGTGTTTACTTGTGAAAAATAACGCTTCTGTCGATGGTGGTTATGTTGCAGAACATCAGGGCTCGGCTGAATGGTTGAAAATAAAAGTTTACAAAGAAGTGATAGTAGATCCGTATCTGCTACCGTTATGGCTTCAGATAACACTATGTTTAGTTATGTTAGTGCTGTCTGGTTTATTTAGTGGGCTGAACTTAGGTTTGATGTCGCTGGATCAAACAGAACTGAGGATCATTGAAAAAGTTGGAAATGATGAGGAAAAGAAACATGCTAAAAGAATAGCCCCGTTGAGGAAACGGGGAAACTTTCTGCTTTGTACACTGCTGCTAGGAAATGTGTTGGTAAACAGTACTTTTACAATATTTTTTGATAATATGACTAATGGGCTTATCGCTGTTATATGTTCAACTGTAGGTATTGTGGTTTTTGGAGAAATTATTCCACAGGCCATTTGTTCGCGTCATGGTTTGGCCATCGGTGCTAGAACTTACTGGGTTACAGTGTTTTTCATGATTGTTACATTTCCAGCCTCTTTCCCCATTTCTCTTGTCTTAGACTGTGTTCTTGGAGAAGAAATGGGCCAGGTGTTCAATAAGGAAAAACTCCAAGAATTGATTCGCATGACTGCCGATCGGCAAGTCTTACATGATAATGAGGCAAACATAATTTCTGGTGCATTGCAGTTGACTAACAAAAGTGTTGAAGATGTGATGACAAAAATTGAAGATGTTTTCATGTTAGATGTCAACACAGTATTGGATTTTGAGAAGATGACAGAAATAATGCATCAGGGTTACACACGTATCCCCGTTTATGATGGTGAAAAAACCAACATCATTAGTCTTCTTAACACTAAGGACCTTGCTCTTATTGACCCAGATGATAAAACTCCACTGAGCACAGTATGTAAATTCTACGACCACAGACCTCTGTTTGTCGACTATGATCTCAGGCTGGATGCAATGCTTCAGACATTTTTGCAAGGTAAGTGTTTAAACTCATTCAGTCAGTCAATGCGGAGTGGCTGGCAGAATGGTTTATGAATGCTGGACTCTCATGCAGGACACAGAGGTTCAAATCCTGAGTAAGGTTATGGTTTTTTTTTCAAATAGGCACTTGCACAGTCCATTGCACACTAGACATGTGCTCCTAAATTGTCAGGCTCAAAGTCTTCTCTGCTGACACTGCAAAAGTGCTGAATCAGGCAGTATTTGTTGTTTCTATGGCTGTCAGTTAATATAACACATGAATTCTCTGCAGTGAAGGTTGACAGCAGTGGATCTCCACAACACGCATTGATCTGTTAATGACAAACATAGTTCAGTTCAGTTTGTTTGCTCCTGCGCAGTGTTTCATAGTGCAGGACACGATTCTAGTAACCAAAAATTAGCATTAAAGGGTGAGGGGACAGTTCTTAATGACCCCAATGGCTTTTGTTTTATTAAAGCCAAGTTGATGTGACTTTTGCCCATGAGCTTCAGTGGTAGAGGTCACAGGGTCACGCATTGAGTCAAAGGATGCATATAGTGTTCATGGCTCCTGGAGATGTGTTCCATTCAACGCTTCATCCTTTATTGATCACCCCTTTCATGTAGGTTTGTATGTTTCTATTTTTTTTTTAAATTTGAAATATAAGTAAATAAGTTGAGGTTTCTTAATTTGTGACCCTTGTAAAATGTGTTATTTTAAAGGATTTTTTCCTGGAGTTCCTACCGCTTCGCTCCCTTATATTGGTAGTTCCTGTGATATCCTTTTCTTAATTATCCCAGTTGTTACATAAACGCATTTTGTTGTTTTTCAACAATTGTATGTTTGAAATCCTTTAGATACAATAGGTAAAGCAACAATTGTTTAAAAAAAAAACACGAACCAGACTCTTTTTATGCGCATCAAGCATATGGTGCTAGTCCTATATTTTTAAAGACCAGTCAGCACTCAGTTAGTGATGTGGTCAACATCACACTGGCTACCTGTACTTCCTGGGAGCCAACATTGTGGGTTTCTGCGCTGGCTAATCAACTTAGTTGGCTTGTGCACTGGCTTATCAATACTGTGTCCTGTGCACTGGATAGTGTTTTGGGCACTGGCTTGCACAAACAAATTGTGCTTATACACTAGTTTTTCAACACAGTTTTCTGTTCACTAGTACATTAGCATACTCTTTGCACTGATTTATCAGTGCAAAAGCCCAGAGTTTAATCTTTAAATGTGACCTTTTTTTTGCACATAAATGTAGGGCTCTGTTGTCATTCTAGACTCATTGAAATAGATAACACATATCTTCTTTGTCCTAATCAAAAGAATTTTAGATGTACTAAGATACATCATGGCTAGCATTATGTTGACTCCATCAGCTGTCAAGTGCTGACTAGTCTATAAAAAGACGAACCTGCATTATATGCCTGATGTGCCAAAGGAATTAAAAGGATCCTTTACAAAAAAATGTATAAATACTTTCTGTGTGGTTTACCACAATCCGAACAGGAGACTGTTGAGAATCGCAGAAGCTTTAACAATTAAAATTAACAACCCCCTCCCTTGTAAGCAGACAGAATTTATTGTAAATTTAGAGTTACCCTGGTAAGTTACGTGACTACGGTGAGCTTCCGGCGGCCAAATTACACTCACGATGTGTTGGAAGAAACTATTCGCATTTCAGTTGGATTTATTCAGTTTTGTGCCTCATTTTATGTTATTGTAACTCTGTAGTAACGCACCTGACGAGATACAGCAAAATATGTATGGCAATGAATCGTGTAATGTATTGTTTGTTTCCGCATTATTTAAATGTATAAATCAACATTAGCCAAGTTGGGCAACACCGATGATCATTTTTATCCTCCACCATCAGTCGCTGCTTTTGTTCTACCCCGCCCTGCGAATTGTTAGTTACCTGTCCTTTACAGGACTTGCAGAACCGACGAGCCTTTTTATAAAGGCAAATTTGCGTTCGGCTGTTTGCCAGTGCTTGCTCTGCAGTTGGCTCTCGATACCGCAGTTGAAACTAGTGCTAGGCAGTCTAATGCCAAATCACCTGCAGCTGTGATTGAACCAGGCACCCTGACATTACAAAGCATATTCGCAATGCCTAAACCACATTCAATGACCACCCTACTAAACTAATCCATATTTTTATTCTTTTATGAAGTGCTAGCTCTTAATTCCCAGTGTATTCATCTGTCAAAACAATGCCTTTATATTTCCTAACCAAGCCATATGGGATAAAACCCGGTGCAATGAAGTCGATTCTTCCAGCTGTAACTGTATATGTAGGTTTACTGAAGCTGCACATAACTTATAACTTATCATGCAACTCTGAACTTTAATTTATACACTAGTGTACAGTATTTAGTGCTTAAAAGCAGTCTTCCTCAACCTGTTTACATCCCTCCCCCTCCGGGCCCACTAAAACAAGGTCAGTTGTTTTGCAGAGCACTTGACAGCTAATGAAAGACAGAAGCATAACCGTTGTAAACGTTTTATGCCCCAGTATAGACTGCCAGGTGTGCCTCAGTTTTTAACTGTCTTATATGATGTAACAGGGTTTCTGGGATGTAAACCTGTTTTATGCTCATAATTGAGGTGATAATCCTACATACTGCAATCCTGGAGGGGGAAATCGACACACAAACTCATCCACCCCATCCCCCACTCTCCCCCCCCCCCTCCCCCCCCCATCCCTCATCTCCATATTATTAGGCGAACCACCTGGTCTTTTCTGCGGCCTGCTGGTTGCAACCACAATTTATTTCATAAAGATGTAAATTTAATGAAGTTCACATTTGTTTGTAACTTAAGGACTGCTTTTTTTTTCTTTTAATGCATATCCATTTATAGACTTAAGCTTTTGAATTCTTACATCTTGGCTGTGTGCATTAGGATATTCATTGCATCAAGATAAACAAAACGCATGACTTGTTCTTTTATGTACGGTTCTGAGTTTGCATCCACCATATGTATACATAAAGTTACTGAAGCTTCACACAATGTTTTTAAATATATTAAAAGGTAGTGGTTGGAATTTTAATATAGTTAAGCTGTGAATTAATTGTAAGAGTCATAAAAGAAAAGATGATAGTGCGTTGCATTTTGTAAGAAAATGTATCAACGGACACACACACCTCTCCTCGCTTTTCTGAGATAACTTGAGGAAAGAGAAGGGAATATATATTTTCTACTAAATAATACTTTTCCATATTCGCTGTATACTTGGGTTTAGTTTAATGGATCTTTTTGTTGCACCTGGTTTCTTCAAGTGCTCCAGTCTCCTTCAATAGGTCACGTAAGGAGAATTTCAGCACATTGTATGAACTCTCTAATGCTGGTTAGGATCCAGATCTCTGCATTCAAGATTTATCTGTGCTCATTCTGTATATGTGGATTTTGAATGTTGAATAAGGATCGACATCACAGCACTCGAGACACCCCCATAAGCACTCTGTTCCCATCTTCAGCAACAAGCGAAAAGTTAAAATTCCGATGGTACCAGTAGCTGTATGATTGTATATCCATCTCGCCTTTCCCCTGAGTGTTGAATGTTGGCCAGATCTCCTTGTAACTCCTCGCAGTGCCATTCTCCTCAGACCGTAATGAACTGTCTGTGCCTGGGCACTGTTCACTAGCTCCTAAAGGGCCTTCATAATATCCAGCTTGTCATATATTAGTTCACAAGCAAGTGGTGCAGAGCAGGCCAGTCTATCTGCCTGCTCATTTCCTAACACACCAGCATACCTAGAGAAAATATCCAAAGGATGCTAACTACCTAGGACCTTTGAAGTGATGCTTGCCACTCTGTACGGAGCATGCCTGTCTCCACCTTTCTCAACATGCCATGTAAGTTGTGTGTCTGGATAAGTTTTCTAATTGGTAAATTGTTCTAGGAGTGTGATTATTTTCTTGTTTTAACACTCTCAAATATTTTTGTGGTGTCCTGAACTAGAGCTTCAAAGTCATGATTTCATATTGTTTCCTGTTCTTTTTATATTTCTTAGTGAAAGCTTGATTGTGTGATTGACAATGCTCGCTGTGCGATAATCTTTACATTTTAACACACTTAGTTGTGATTAAACTGTCAATATAAATATTAATAGCACATTTGTAGGTAAAATCGGGTGGACGGGTGAAAATACATTCCCATTATTTTTTGTACAATGGTACGAGAGTTGCACAGCGGTAGAGATTAGGGCCTAATCACGTAATTTATCTAAAGAGAACAGTGATACACTGTAGCCAACCTCCATAAGTTAAAATCAAAATAAAGGTATAGGTCCAAATCAACCATTCACATTGTGTTTGTGCCAAAGCAAAAGGTCTAAACTTGGGGTAAATATAATTAGAAATCAGTTATAGGAGTCAGTTAACAGCATAACTAGGCCGTCCTGTTGGAGTCCGTCCACAAGGTGTTGAGAGAGAGAGTGAGAGACCATATAAACAAAGTGAAGAGAATGCAAGAATTGACATCACTACACTAAGGATATTCTTACTTATCACTTTCTTTGGTAGCCAGCTCAGAGTTCAGATGTTGACAATGCCCGCAGAAGTCTGTTTGAAAGGGTGCCTCCTTCCCCCACTATTCTTGTCTCTACTTTTATCTTATAATATAATAATTATAGTTTTGCAGAACTCTTACTAGTTATTCATATTATGTTCTACAACTGTGTGCACCTGATCATAAAGTAAATCGCCGCCCATAGGATCGGCATCAGCCAGTTTATTAGCCTGTTTATTTTCTCTCACACTTGTATGTCCTAGGCAGAAAATGCAGGTTATGCTTCCAGCTTGAGTCCTTTTAAGTGATGCATTCTGTTGAAAGCTTAGCATAACGTTTTTGTTTTGTAAAAACATTTTCCGTATTTGGCTGATACCTTTTTGGCTGTCACATGTTCTCGGCCACTAATTAGGCCAGATGTTTAGTCTTTATCATGTGGCTCTTCTTTTAATATGTGACACTTACACCCCACCCCCCACCCCCAACTTAGAGGAGG